AACATGGTTTAAGGATGATTAGAGCTGGGATTCCCTTTAGTGTTCTTTTGGAGTATGGGGCTAAGGATGTTCCAACTCTTGGGAGTTTACCCTAAACTCATCTAACTCCCAACCCGGTCCCAACCTTCTCCGGCGAGAAGGAAGCATCCTCGGCCGACATGCGTCCAACCTGCTCCGCGACCTTCACGCAGATGCGCTCGCAAGTCTAGGGTTCAGGACGTTTAGGGTTTAGGGTTTAGGGGTTAAGAGCTAAGGTATAAGGTTCAGGGCTTTTAGGGCTTAGAGGGCCCTAACGCCCAAGAATCTCTAATTCAAAGCAGCTAGCTGCCAAGCAAAACCCTCTAGCCGAGAAAAGAAAAACTTCTCGCAAGGAACAACCTGATGAAAACAAGCATCTGGCATCACTATTATTAGTATTATTATTAATACTAGTATTATTACTATTAGTATTATCATTATTCTAACATAATCTTGCTTACACTTAACCCCAGACCAAAACCCTCTAGCCGAGAAAAGATCAACTCCTCCCTTCCAGGTTTCTGCATGTGGGCCCGCCTCTGAGCTATCATGTCCTCTTGGGGGGGCTGCCCTAGATACGCTCCGTATTCAATAGGAGCTTCCAAAGGGACCCTAGGCCCACACCCGGACCCCATGGATCCTAAACCCTCACCCCGAACCGGCAAAGCAGCAACTATAGAGCCTTAGGCTAAAGTGCTTTTCAACTTATAGCGGCATTTTGGATACCCTGACTCTGAAGGGGCTCCGAATTCTAAGAGGGCCCGAAGAAAGACACATTCATCATCCTGCGAGATGACGCTTATAGATTTCAGTACGGTTTAGGGTTTAGGGTTTAGGGTTTGGGGTTTAGGGTTTAGGGTTTGGGGTTTAGGGTTTAGGGTTTAGGCTTCACGGCTTAGGGAATCAACGACAGCGCAGGCCTTGCTGGGATCGCATAGGTTGCCTGGCACTGTGGCACTGTGCCCCCCTTGAAGCACCAGGAACGACTTGGTTTAGGGTTTAGGATTTAGGGTTTAGGGTTGGAACCGATCCTCTACACCCTAGTTGTCCAGTAACCCCAAAAAGGTTAAGGTTACATACTCTGCAACTAAGACAAAGTGTGGATACCCTAAACTCCTGAGCTCTGCCTCTCGAGCAACATGTATACTCTTGAAAGGAGGCGCTGTTCCTAACTCGAATACATCCAAAGGGAGGGTACCACTACCTACAGGGTGAATGGTCCTAAGTGTAGGGGCTCTACTATGAGAGGGTGTGATCCCTGGGTTCAGATCCTAAAGTGACACACCACCCTCGACAGGCCCCCCCCATCGCCTGACCCTGAATGTACCCCTGAACCCGCAATAAAGTGGCCAGAGGTTCGGAGTTGAGTCTCGACCTCTTGCAGAACCTCCTCGTAGTTCTCCACGTCCTCGATCTTCACCTGGCACATGGCGGAGGGGAGAAGATGAAGGGTTAATGGTTTCGGCCTTAACATGCCGGAAACCCATAAGTCCCAAACCCATGATGTTGTAGGCTTCAAAGGGTCCATGTGTAGTGGCATTGTGGAGTCAGCAACCCCAAAGCCCTGTCGCAGTACAAATAGACCCGCTAGGCTAGTAAGAACCGCATAGTTCACCCATAACCTAGCCCATGACTGTAACCTTCATCGGTGCCTTTCTAGCCAAGATGAGGATTTTCCGAAATTAGGGGTACCTTCTTGGGATCCTTGTCATAAGGGAGTCCTGCCCTTTGGGGGGTTTATATTCGGGCTCCCTCATCTTCGCAAACCCCCAGCGCCCTGAAGTCATGGCCTTCTCCTCTTGGGTCAGGAAGAAGTCAACCTCACAGCGCGGCTCGGCACTTTACAGCCTGGAGGCTTATGACCCATGAGTCCTCGTTGACTCCAGACCCTGAAAAACTATAAAGCCTGAACCCCAATTAAATTAACCCACCCTCAACCCTAAACTCAAGCAGCAGGCATTTGAGGCCTGAGCTCTAAGATGTCAAAACCCTACAGTAACCCAGGTTCCCACGTAACCCAAGAACCGAAGAAGGAAGTGCCTTCATCGGCTTAGCGATGACGATTGCGGGTTGAAAGATTGAGGCGGCTTCATGGGGGTTTTTGGGGACACCTAACCCTAGGAATACTAACCCTAGGGTTTAGGGTTTGGGGTTTTAGGGATACTACTGGGAGGCCTCGTGTGGAATTCTCCAAATCCTAGGCCCCCTGGCCGTGCCCTTCAGATCTTCGAGGAGGGTTTGAATCGCCGACGGCTCAATCTGAAAGGTCTCCTGGGAGTTGGGGGTTTCCGAAATGAGGGGTGTACCTTATTGGGGTCCTTACTCTAAGGGAATGCTATTTCAGGGGTCCCCTATTTTCGTAAACCCCCTGCAGTCCCAAAGAGCCCAATACCCCTCAGCTAACTAGGACGGCCCTTAAAACCCTCTAAAAAATATTCCTGAATATGATCCTCTTCAACCCAATAAGGGAAAATGTTAAAAAAAAAAAAAACACAAAGAACCACATACCCCTCAATTAAACAATGCAACTTAACTGATGTAGGGGTCCCTAGTTCCTAAATTCAGGGGCATTGGGCTCTCTGGTATTTTTTGGGCCGTGTGGCTCAGTGTTCTTCTACCGATTGCTGAAGAACCCACAAAAAAACATGAAATATTCTTCCTTATAAGGGTAAATTTGGGATTGTACATTTTTTGGGGGTTCTTAAGCAAATAGCAGTCTTGTGGCTCAACCGACTATAGACTGAGCTTTTTTCCCGCAAAATCCTAGGTCGTTATGGGCCTCAAGGGTTTGCGCGCTCAGGGTTTCAAGTTAAACCCTAAACCCTAAAGCCCAAAACCCCAACACCCCAAAACCCTAAACCCTAAACCCTAGGTGATTGGGGGCTCGAGGCCTTCATGCTAGGCTTTTAGAAGGTCAAGGCCCAGAAACACTTCCCGCCTCGCTGCGTCTTAGTGGTCTGGGGACTTTGCGGATTCATGTTCAAAGGGTGCAAGTTGCTTTGGGGTGTTCACATGATACTAGCGTTGAGGCAATGACATCCGGCGCCCTAGAACCTGAACCCTGAAACCTACACCCGGAACCCGACTTGTCATCCTTGATGTCTGCGCGGTAGACGCCGACGCGCATACACTCCACGCGGGCCCCCTGCAGGAAAGGCGCTTTATCACAGTGCAAAGTACCCAGGGCCATTGGAAGGACGACGTAAAGGTGCATAGTTTTTTGCTCCACCCCTTTCACCTTCTAAGGTTCCTCTTAACTATCTTCCTAGGAACCCTTTCAAGAATTTACAGGGTGCCGATTATGCCTACTTAGTGCTGAGAAGTTTGAACGCCGTGGCTTCTTCCAGCTCAATTTGGGTAGCCCCGCAGCTACAGGATCAAGGTGTCCCAGCCATTAGATTTGGGGTTTACAGGATTTAGGGTGACATTCGACAACTGTCCAGGTGGGAGGACTATGATGGATCATATTTTGGCAGACTGTCGTGACCTAGCATTTGGAGTCCACCTTCAATCAGGGCGGCATGCTGTCCAAACAAATTCAACAGGGATAGACCAAGGGGCTTTGCAGCAGGTTCGCGTCGAGAAAATGATTCACTGTCGCTACCCAGCTAAACAGTTACTTGCAGGGTTCTGTGACTCCGTGTCAAAGCTTGCCAAGCTTGCACATTAACACCAAACTTACCCGACAAGGCAGTCTAGTCAAGGCTTCGAGACCTTGCATCTTAGCAGCATCAGTCTGCCTGGAAGGTGACAAGTTTGAAGATTTTGAAGGGTATATATATATATATAATTGTAATTACATATATATATATATCAAATTTATTTATTTATATCGCCGCAGGATAGCAGGAACCTGATAGTCGAACTCCCTACTACAAGAACCAGCAAGTTGATGCCCCCAACATTCGCAAGGGCCGGTACGCTGCCTCGTAGGTCGACTGCTCAATCAAGCGGTTCGTTCCCTGGCATGTGTGGGCAGGTGGAACCCCCCCCCGCTCCCGAAACATTCAGTGATTTTAACAAGCCCTTTTTCTTGGGACCCTTTCGTGAAGGGGTTCTATGTTCAGAGGACCCTGCGGAAAACTGCAAAGGGCTTTGGGACGCCAATACGGTAGCCTGCACGCCCGCTGTGACTTAATGTGCCGTCGGCCCCTCACCATTTCCCCTGCCAGCTTCATGTCTGAATTGTGAGATGCAACTTTCCTGAGGATCGGCTTGTCGAACAAGCGGCCGGAACAGGGATCTCTGTTGAACTTCGAAAGCATCCTTAACCTAAACCTAAACCGGACCGAATCCCATAGTTCCCTGAAGCCCTAAACCTGAACTTTTACCTAAAGTAACTTTCTCACCCATTGTACTTAGGGTTCATTTCACCTTCTATAGTGTGCTTCTCGGCTGCCCTGACCGAACAAACAAAGCCAACTAAACTTGCCAATATTCATGTTCAGAGCAGGAGCCTCAGGCCTATGCTTCACACGGGCGCCGTGTGCGAGTCAACTCCCAAATTGCGATTCGCAGCGTTGCAGCTCCGAAGTCAGGGCTGGCTACTTTTGGTGCAGAGGCGTTTAGGAGAGGGAGTTTAGGGTTTGTATAGGGCTTGGACGCTTATATAATAACAGCGCTTACAAGGGGGTTTGAGTATTGGTCTCGTGTGTGTGTGTGGGTGGGTGGGTCAACATCCTCCTCCTGCTACTCACCCGAGGTCCAGAAGTGCCCTAAACCCTAAACCCTAAACCCTAAACCTGAACCCTAAACCCTGATGACGAGGTCTACAAGTTCCCCGAAGAAGATTGAGGCGCAAACAGTGCTCTTTTTGCTCGCTTCATGGGGGTTTAGATGGGAACCTACTCCCTTAAGCAAAAAAGGAGCGCTTCCAGGGTGCTAATGGGCATCCGAAAGGTTCTAAGTCCATCCTGAGCTTGTTGTCTTCCGTTGTGGTTTTAATGAGGGTTGAGGACGTCCGCCCGCCCTTCGGAGCGTCATCAGCTCGGGCCGAGTTTGGCCCTCACGCGCTTGGACTGGTCATGAACCACAATCCTTTGCATGCCGAGGCTCTGGGTTGAGGACTGAGGGTTGAGAGCTTAGGGTTTATAGGGCTTAGGGCTTAGGGTTTAGAGTTTTGGGCTTCTGGAAGAACAGACAGCGATAGCTGCAAACCCAGCAGATCCCAGCCCTAGTCTTCAACCCTATCCCTGCACCCCACCCAACTAAACCCAAGAATGACAGTCTGACATGGGCCTTGATGTTTTGCGGAAGATGCACATACAACCTTTACACGCAGCAGTGAGTCTAGACTTGCAAGACATGAGGTTTTCCGTAGGGTTTGGGCGTTTAGGCTGCAGGGCTTAGGACTTCATATCAGAGGCCACATGCGTAACGGGTGGCGTAGATAAAGGGCGGACCCGGGGATTCAATAACCCATATGGCTGAGAACGATGTCTCACGCAGCTTGGCGGGAAAAAACTGCGGAAGCACCTTCCACTGTATAGCAGTCCTACTGCGCATCCTAGTCAGGCTCAGTGGACTCTTGGCTCAAAGCAACAGCAAGTTCTTGAGTAGGCTGTGTTGAGCCTGTAGCGGTAACTAGACCCAACAGGAACCTTGGAATAAAAAGGTAACCTTTTTGGTATAAGGGGACTATACGGGAACCCGAACCCTAACAAAAAGGGGAAGGGGGGCCCACTCTGGGTCTTAGGTAAGCCAGCCCAGTCGCTGCTTCTTTCCGGAGGGAAGAGCGCCTTCCCACAGCTTTCGGATGCTGATTCTGACCTCCTTGTTCACCTGCCACGTGAATGCAGGGTTCATGGAGATTGCGGAGGGTCTCAAACCGTCAGCCTTGGACCCTACATTCCCTGTATACCATCCTAAAGCCTCACTCCCAAATTTCTTCAGGGTCCTGCAACCCCGCCAGCCACGGGACCCTGAAATCAACGCGCGAAAAACTTTGCAGGAGCAAGCGCCTAGGTGGAGATCGCGGGAACCATCCTAAAATCTGCTATCCCCAAACTTGGTAGCCCAGTAACCATATCAGAATAAGGGCACCCTTTTTGGTTGGTTACTTAAGATCGGAACTCAGAACCAAAAAAGGGGCAAGGGGTACTGGGCTACCAAGCAAACCAGGATCACCAGGACCGGTCTCGTGACTACCGGGGGCCCCCTGGCCTTGATCTCCAAATCTCTGCGCTGCTCCTGGGCTCATGGGCTTTAAAAGGGTTTAGAGTTTCAAGGGTTTATATTCAGTGTTCATATTCAGGAGCTAGGGTTTAGGGTTTAAAAAGGCTGTACTTGAGGCTTTTCATGAAAGCTACCAGTAGGAAGTGAACCGGTGTTGAAGACACACTGTCAATTGCCATTCACTCTGCATACATGGCATAAACCTCCTTCTCAAGTGCAAGAAAGGTCCAATATGCGTCCAGGTTTTTATGGGTTGCGGGCCTGGGTGTGGTTGAGGATTCGGGGCTCAGGGTTTAGGAATTTGGGCTCCGGCATGTTGTTGATTTTGGGCGCTGTCCTTGGTGAAGAGCGCTGCAGCTTCCCCGAAGGTGGTGCCGGCAACGGCCTGCTGCCAGCTCGGGTGCTTTGGGTCCAGGCTTTAGGGTTGAAGGGGTCTTCTAGGTTGGTTTTAGGCGGGTTGGTTTACAGCACTGGCACCCAGCCCTTTTCAGAAGCAGAACAGATGCAAACCGGATAAACGTCTGTGAGGGCAAGAATCACGTCCCCCCCCCCCCCCCCCCCCCCCCCGCACACCCGAGTTGCCCTGAATCTCAAACTTGAATGCCTTATCCTAATCGCTTCCCCTAATCCTTAAAGCCTCTGTACCAGAATGAACGCATCCTGAAATGCACCACTCGCCCTACACCCTTATAGTAGGTCTGGTTTAGCCAGCAAGCCCAACAGGCACATACCCTAAGCCTCCACACTCTAAGCCCTAACCCCCCCCCAAAGAAGAGAAAACAAACAAAACCAACATTCCTAAAAACAAAACCCTAAACCACCAAACCTAAACAAACCTAAACAAACCTAAACAAACCTAAACAAACCTAAACAAACCTAAATAAACCTAAACAAACCCCTAAATTCTAGAAAACGAAAGATCCTAAACCCTGAACCCAAAAAATGCCTGGAAGTGAGGGATGAGCTTTTTGGCCTGAGCTCTTCGAGGCAAGTCTGGCGAGTTGAGGCTTTTGAGTGCTTTTTTGAGGGTTCAGGGTTTTAGGGTTTAGGGTTTAGGGTTTAGGGTTTAGGGTTTAGGGTTTTAGGGTTTAGGGTTTTGGGTTTTGGGTGCCTTTTAGTTTTAAAGGCGATTCTAAGGGACCCTAAACCCCCCAAAAAAAAGGGGGAGCAAGGGCCTACTCCGGGTCCCGGTGCTTTTGGCTTCTTGAGGACGGGTTCGAGGGTTGAGAGAGCTCAAGGTTTTGAAAACTTGCAGGGGTTAGGCCCTAAACCCTAAACCCTAAACCCTAAACCCTAAACCCTAAACCCTCAACCCTCAACCCTAAACCCTAAACCCTAAACCCTAAACCCTAAACCCTAAACCCTAAACCCTAAACCCTAAACCCTAAACCCTAAACCCTAAACTAACTAGGGGATAATTCCGTGTACAGGCTGCAGCCGATCCGAAGGGTCAAGCAGATTATCAACCATAGTTTATAAGAACGCAGCGAAGTAGATCCCTAAACCTCGAACCGTAAATCTACATCCTGACCGTCCAGCATCTAGGCTGGAGACTCCCTTAAACCCTGAACATCCTTCATCCTGACACTTCCTAGGCAAAAACAACCCTAAGCCATTAACACTTTAGTCCCCTAAACCCTAAACCCTAAACCTTAAACCTTAAACCCTAAACCCTAAACCCTAAAGCCTAAAGCCTAAAGCCTAAAGCCTAAAGCCTAAAGCCTAAAGCCTAAAGCCTACAACCTAGCCATATACCCTTAAATCCTACAACCCTCAACCCCTAGAACCCCGGACACTTTGAACCCTTACAAACCCCCTACAGTACGGAAACCCCAACCTCTTAAGCCCTTCAAAACCCCTGCCTTAAACCCGTTAGAAAACCCCTACCGTAAACCACAGATCCAACCTTCAGCCCTTCAAAACCCCGAGCTTAAACCCTAACAGACCCAACCTTGAGCCCCTAACTGGAGTCTCCCTCAGCAGCCTGAGGCCCTGGCTGCTGGCAACTTCCAGTTGGGATCACAGAAGCGACCTGAGCCAGCAGCAGCCAAGTTCTTCTGGCAGCCCTGTAACCATATATGATAATGAGGACACCCTTATTTGGAGGGGGGGGGTTGTTTACGTTGTAAAGGAACCTTGTTCCAAAAAGAGGGACAAGAGTTGAGGATGGAGTGTTGTGATTGCTATTCGGGCTCCAACCTGAATGCTGAAACCCTAAACCAAACAGTCCACCACATCCCTTAAACAAAAACCGAAGCCCGAAGCGATCTTTGGTTGCGTGCAGCTCAGGGTTAGGGGTTTAGGGGTTTAGGGGCTTAGGGGCTTAGGGGCTTAGGGGCTTAGGGGCTTAGGGGTTTAGGGGTTTAGGGGTTTAGGGGTTTAGGGGTTTAGGGGTTTAGGGGTTTAGGGGTTTAGGGGTTTAGGGGTTTAGGGGTTTAGGGGTTTAGGGGTTTAGGGGTTTAGGGTATAGGGTTTAGGGTAAGTAGGCACTTGGAATCACGAGGTCAATGCTTCGGGGTATCATCGCGCTCGCCGTAGAATGCTCTACTTGAAGGGTTCATGGGCACTTGCACCCTAAACCCTAAACCCTAAACCCTAAACCCTAAGCCCTACGCCCTAAGCCCTAAACCCTGACAAAGGAGGACACGGTTGCCGCTTGCCCTGTCGCCAAAGGGTTTGGTTTCCTCTCCGCGGCCCCAAGCCCAAAACCCTAAACGCTAGCTGTCGGTGTTTATAAACTTCTGCAACCCCAAACCCAAACCCTAAACCCTAAACCCTAAACCCGAAACCCAAAGCTATAAAACTAGGGGCTTCAAGCCACAGGCTTCCTGGCCTGCTTGTGAGCCACAAGCTCAAGCCAAAATCACTCAAAACCCTGAACTCTGCAAGGGGTTTAGGGTTTAGGGTTTGGGGTTTAGGGTTCTAGTAGGTGCCCTGGGTAGATGTAGATAACTTGGGTTGTACATGAGTGCCGCCAGTCAGGTTACCAGTCCCTGCTTTTAAGGAGTACCTTGCGTCATGCGTCCCCACCTGCTACTTGTGCGGGAGGGCTGGCCGCCTAATAACTTAATATACTAGTTTGTTGTCTTTTGGGTTACAGGTGAACCATAAACCCCATCCCTCAACCCTAAACCCTCAACCCTAAACCCTAAACCCTAAACACTAAACTCGACAACAGCCCTTGTGCCAAAACCCTTTAAACCCCTGGAGGCCCTGGCCACATCGGTGGTGTGCCATGAAATTGTCGATGCCTTCCTGCAGGGTATAGGGTTTAGGGTTGGGGTTTAGGGTTTAGGGTTGGGGTTTATGGTCCACCTGTAAACAGGAGCTTAGGGTTTCTGAGCTAGAGTGCTCAGTGGGTAGCCAGGAGCAAGGCCGACAGCACGTAAGGGTTCAGCAACGCTTTCATTCCATTGCGCTTCTACCGGAACATCGTGGAGCTCTCTCAACGCAAAGCTCTGGCCATCAACAGGCTTGGGCTCTGAAATACTCTTCCACGGCCCAGCGCGGTGGTTCCACTACTGCTTGCTTGAAGGTTAATGGGTCCCAGGCTAGTAGCGTTCACATGAGCTTCCAAATAAGAATTCTGTTGCAGTGTGTTACTCTGCCTAAGCTGCCCGGCCCAGTGCCCATGAACCTCGTACGATCCTGTTGAAGCGTCCAGCACGTGAGAACAAGAAGCAAGGCCACCGCCCCAGGTCCTGTCCAAGATCCGTGCCACCAAATTCCTGCAGTCAGAGGGAGGCTCACAAGGCTTAGTGTTTTTATGGATTTTTTTTTTTTTGGGGGGGGGGGGGGGGGGGGGGGGGGGGGAAGGCTCGTGAATGTCGAAGGACCTGGCAGTTCGAAACCGCACGGACCGACTGGTGCCCCTCCATGGAAATGCCTCCAAGACACGACAACTCCCGTGCACATTCAGTCCTTGCCCTTGCTGTGAATTACAGGATCGGTGAGGATGTAGAAGCCTCATTGGGCAAGCTTGGGCAGGCTTGGGCCAAACCTGGTTGTCCAGTACCTAGGGGGAACTAAAGGTTAACCTTTGGGATTATAAGGGGATTATATTACACCAAAAAGGTTAAAGGTTACCTACTCTACAACAAAGCAAAGCTACAGGAATCCCTGTGACCTCGGGTTTGGGGGTTCTGGCTCAATGCTCTTGGAACAGAGAGGTCAGGTGCTGCCCGTCCCCTGTCGCACCTCTGTGATGTTTGAACGGACAACTCGGAAACTGCTAAAGAAAGATTCCACGTTCAACCCAGACATTAACATCTACAACATGCACAGCCGCCTCACTTATAGCTTGATGAGAAGTTCGAACATTTGCATTGCAGGGTTGTGAGCAAGGCTTGTCGAGTTTGGGATCTGTCGCTGGCGTTTTAGAAAATAGTCTACACGATGAGTAAGGTACATTTGCTTTCAGACCGAGTACACAGGTCACTTCAGGTAGGTTCTTAGGAAGGAAGGTTAAGAGTTGAGCCTTCAGGGTTTCGGTTGAGGGCTTGGGGGTTGAGGGCCCTTCCTGCGCGTGGGGGGGGGGGGGGGGCTGAGACTACCCAGAGCCCTGGGAGGATCCAAAAACTAACCCCCAAATAGTACCCTATACTACTATTGGGTCAGTTTTAGGAACCCTTAAGGGGATCTGTTTTCGGGACCTCCCAGGGGTCTGGGTATGGGAGGCGGAGCTGCTCCGAAGTCTCTGAGCCCTGCGCCGTCGTACCGACCCCCCTGGAGGTCACACAGCAGATATTGACCATTCCTTGGGCTGGCCGTTTTGGGCTCCGGGTTTTGGTGACTGACCTTCTGTCTACCCACAGGAGGACTTAAAACAAGATGCTTTCAGAATGAGTGCCCCTAAACCCTAAACCCTAAACCCTGGTTAGGCGCTAAGGCTTCGTGAGCTCCGACAATGCCCTTGCAACAACTTCAGGCGTAGACTCGACACATGGAAGGAGAAGTGCGACAAAGCCTGCATGGTGGCCGTGTCAGGCTCGGCATAGCCAGTGTTGCTGTTGAACCGAAAGTACGTACCTGGGCGAAATGTGACAAGCAGCTCGACCACAAGTACGTCTCTCTCACTGCTGATTTCGCTCGCTTGGTGGCAGTGACGGCAGGTTGTTCTGTTCTTAAGCTAGAGTATTTATCGATAACAATCGGACGCAAATGTAGAACAAGTCCCCCCCCCGGTCTCTGGAGACCTTCAAGCAAGCGCGGTGTCAAGAGCATGCTATGGTCCTCGAAACCTGCCCGAATCTACCCTTTACGTAGACTGACCAGAATGTCCCAAAAAGGAAGGGGGAACATACCTAGCATTACCTAGCTCTTGAGGTAGATTTTCAATTTAAGGGTTGGTTGATAGCTTACTCCAAGTCTAGGTACTCTTTGCAAAGGGAAGCGGCCTTAATTGCCTCTGCCTAGGCCTTTTCTCATGATAACAGGATCAGGCTAGGTAAGTCATAAACCCCCCCCATCGCCCAAGAATTCGAACAAGCTTGGGTTTCGCGGCTGTTGGGATGTTCCCCCTTATACTAACAGCTCCTTCGGGATTCTAGTATCCCCAATTCTATAATCCCTATTCCCCCTGGTTCTTCGTAGGGGATGAGGGCCCTAAGGGCCCTATATATACCCTTTAAGCGATTATGTATGGTGCCTCATTCCCTCATTCCCTACGAAGAACCGCCAGGATTAAGGAGCTGTTAGTATATGGGGGAACATCCCAAGGTGGCATGTGCGAGCTCTGTGCATCAGCGGTGTCCGGGATCGGGCTTGGCCTGCGGGAAAAAACTTAAACAAGTTTAGGGCTTAGGGTTTGGGGTTTAGGGTTTAAGGAATATTGGGTACATGTTCCGAAGATTTTCAAAGTACCAGACTGCTCTAGGGGAGGCTTCACTCGGTGCATCACTCGAGCAACGACAAGCGACCTTGAATCATCGGCTCGACGAGGACCTGAAGGACGGGACAGGGGGGGGGGGGGGGGGTGGTGGTGGCATCGTGGTATCGGGTTTAGGGTTTAGGGTTTATGGTTAGCTTAAGAGGCTTTGCAACTTGTGTGGGCTGGACGGGCCGAGGTGGAAAATGGGGGTTTGAAACTCGTTGTTGGTTTTTCTGGAGCTTCAAGGTTCTAAAGGTGTGAAGCATTGAGGTTTAGGGTTTAAGGTTCGGCTTCGGGGGCTTCTGGAGGTTAGGGTTCAGGTCTTTGGGCGGGTTTTGATTTCACATAGCGGCGCTTATACAGGCAAACAAATTCCGAACAAAAACACCAGAAATCTTTGGGCTACGAGTTGCCCTGTAAGAACCTTCAAGCACCCTCACCCCTAAAGCCCATAAGCCCCCTACAGCCGATCCTACAGCCCTTACAGTAGCTCCCCGGCGCCTTATGCCCGGCGATGCGGCCGCCAGAGCCGGACCACACCTCCGGCTCGTTCAGATAGACGCGCTTGCTGACCTGGGCTTGTTTTTTTTTTTTTTTTTTTGGGGGGGGGGGGGGGGGGGGATTGGGGGATGATTATATTTATATCTATATCATTTGTTGTTGTTGTTTGTTTTTTTTTTTTGTTGGGGGGGGGGGGGGGGGTTGTGGGGTTCGGTCGGACTTGAGGCTTCGCCCGCCGAATTGTGAAACAGGAGCGTTCTGGTTCAACGTTGGGGTTGGCAACTTGGGGTGGCATTGCGCTTTTGAAGGGTAGGCGCTTGCTGAGCCGGGAAAAAAACTAATGTTTAGGGGATTTCGGGTTTGGGGTTTGCAGGAGTTTTGTTCGGGCTTGGGAGTTTAGGGGTTTAGCAGCAATTGACGGGGGTTCAGGGCTTCATGGGCACATAGGCTTTTCGGGTTGAGTTCAGGGATCTTAGGCGAGTGGGGGTTGTTGGGGCCATGGCTTGCAGGCCTTTACGAACGGGCTTCGGCTTTGGGTTTGACAATCTCAAGCCCAAGGGTGAAAAAAAACCTCCACAAGACTGATAATCACAGCACGAAGGCTTTGTATCGCACTTCAAGTACTACTAAGCCACAAGTTCGTGAGTTCCTCCCCCCAAAAAGCTAGGAGAAGTGAAACGTGCTTAGAGCTGACAAGACACAACGCCCGCGTCGTTGAACTTCTGAATCAGCTGACCAGCCTCGGAGATCGTGCGTCTCGCAGGATATGGCAGGGTCTTCCGATATTCGGGGTACCCTTCTTGGGGTCCTTGTTATCAGGGGATCCTGCTATTTTTTGGGGGGTCTAGTCTTAGGGGTCCCCTATTTCATAAACCCCCATATAGCAGGGTTTAAGATTAGCTGGGCGTTTAGGGAATGAGCACGGGTGACGTGTCAGCCTGTCGGCCCGCATCAGCTCGCAGATTTGTGGGTGGCTTGGGATTTTGGGGTGGGGCCTCGGTCATGCACCTGCTAAATTGTATGGGACCTTTCTGGAATAACGTAAGAAAAAAACTGCTGATGCCAAATGTAAGGAAAATACACAAATCGATAGACCTGATTCGAATAAACGTAGAGCTAAGGGTGCATTATCCGGATGGACGATGGACCTGTATCCCCTGTCTGGAGCCGTCTGAGTTGGGCTTTCGCTTGGGCTCAGGAAGGACACCCAAACCCGCGCGCACCCTCAATGGCCTGAATCGCTAACAAACGGTAGACTGGTAGACTCTTGCTGGGAAGTGCGACCCGAGCCTGCAGACATTGAAAAGAGCCTAAGCCCTGAACTCTTCTACACCTGAAGCCGGCACTCTGGTCCCCCAACGCCAGGCGGCCTTCTTGACTGCTTGAATGTCAGCCTCCGCTCGGCTGGCAGTGGCGGCTTGTGACGGGTGCGCCAGGTGATGTATGTCTTCCACTTTAGGGTTTCGGGCTCAGGGGGTCAGGGGGCAAGCTTGCCCAAGTTTAGCCATTTCAGCCGCCGAACGTGCGATTAGGGACAACAGTAGCGCGCGGCTTGTTTCGCAGTCAACTGGTCCAATCTGCTCATGAGGCACAGATGCCAATGTGATTTGAATTAGATCAATCCGTGACCATGCGCATTGTGCTCTCAATGCTGTCAAGATTCTCTCACCAGGCAGTGGGATTTTTTGAGCTGTCTTCAGACAGATCAGCGGTGAGTTGGGTTTTGGGGCCAGGGCATGCCAGGTTTGGGACTATCACGGGGTTTACGGGGCTAAGCTTGAATTCTACGTGTTGGTGTTGAGTTAATCGCCGTGGCACGACGTCCCTTGCTCGCATCAAAACGGTTTGTCTTAAACTTGAAATCTTTTACCCTAAGTTCTACGAGTACGTGTCGTGGTTGGGGCTCAAACCCTGGCCTTACGCAACAAAAGGTCCCTCCCGCCTCGAAGAACGTTGCCTCGTGGACGCTTCCGGTCTTGAACTCCTTCATTACCTTTGAGATGGTCGTAGTTGGGGCCGAGGATTCAGGATTCAAAATGAAGGTCCTAAAACAGCCCATGATTCAGGTTCCTCTCTGAACTCTCGATTTCCCGAACCTCCGACGTCCTCAAAAATATCTGGTCGTGCTGCGCAGTCCTCGCCCTCCCGGGTCCCGGAGAGGTAGACCCCCCTGTAGACATAGCGGAAGCCGCCTGCGGGCCAAGCTGACCCTAGACCCTAAGTCCACACGGAGGTAGGTTTTATTCCTTTGCTGTTTGGGACTTAGGGTTTAAGGATGGAAGTTGCAGTGATTTATCCAAGCATGCACTCGTGCATTTAACGCTTAGGGCTCAGGGTTTTGCTAGCACCTGCAATCCTGTCTGCAGGGCCTGCTAGCAACCCCTCTGCCTTCAATTACCTTGGGGTCCTAACGTCCGCACCTGAAGCAAGGAAGGCCCGTCCATGCAGAAATCAGTGGCCCTAGCAACGAAACACTGCCGAAACCATAAACCCCCCAAACTTGGGATGCGGATTATAGTACCCCCGCTTATGATCCCTATTCAGGACTGTTAATCCCAACCCCCAAACCGTCAACCCCCAAAAAGCAGGGCACACACAAGCCAACAACCCTGAACCCTTCCAGGCCGAGCGTCCTTCGGCGAAAACCTCGTTCGAGAACTTGGCCTGTTGCTGGTCTCGGTTTGCACTTACGGGGCTTTTAAGTGGGGTAGAAGTACAGTTTTAGTTGGTTAATAAGTACCATGAACCTCCAAGAACGGTTGATCAACACGACGAACCCCAAGCCGCGTGAGGCCTAAACCCTAAAGTTTCAGGTGCGAAGGGGCTCTCGGGCTCCAGGCTTTAGGATTTAGGACCCCAACGTTAAGTTTACGATTCCGTCGGCTTGAGTGTTTGCATCGGAGCAGAGTTAGAATGGAGTGTGTTTAGGACTGCGAGTTCCTTAGGAGTTCCTTAGGGTGTGGAGCTAGTTGTATCCCCAATTGCCTACAGTTTAGTAGTAAAACCCTTAGTTAATACAGCTAAGAACCCATAAAAACTGTAGGTAATTTGTGGTGACAGGAAATGCGTTTTTAGAGTTAGGGCCCCAGCCCCAGCCTGCGCATCTGTGCCACGCGGGGCGTTCTGGACAAACACGCCGCAGCCAGAGGCGGCCTTGCGACGCTTCCTTGGGCGTTTGGAACGTTGTTTGAAGGAGCGGGCAAGTGATCGCTTAGATTGTAAATCATGTATGGAGACGGCGAAAGACAAAGAAAGAGAGATAGAGAGAGAGAAAATAACAAGATCGTCCTAAACCAGTTCTGGCTGACGCTTGCCTAGAGCAACCCCATAGACCTCTCAAGAAGGGAGAGTGTAGCTTAGCAACGGAGGGTTTGGGTTTCTCTGGGCATTGCTTCGAGGGCCTTGGCAACTCTAGGGACCCCACGACGCGGGCTGCACAGCTGCGGGCTTGCGCTTTACAGCGCCCACCATCTTTCGCTTGGCAGGCATCCCAAATTAAGGCTTAGGGTTTAGGGTGAGGGTGAGTAGGGTTTAGGGTTTTCCTGGAAGGGTGAGGGTTTACGGGGGTTTTTGGGGGTTGAGGATCTCAAGGCTTCAGGCTGCAAGGCATCGGGAGATCTGGGCTGCTATATGAGGCGTGGTCTGGGTTTTCATCGGTGGCATGTTCTACATGGCTGCCTGAACTGCTTGAGCCTCGAACAAATTTAACATCCTAAGCAGAAACACGAGGACTCCACCCGAAGTAGCCTCAACCAGACCTACTGGCCCAATGTGAATCCGAGTATCGCCCCGCCCAGAAGTCTTGATGGGTGAAGTCTGCTGGCAAGATGAGCTCGAAACAGCCGGTGGCTCACAGCAGGGAGCTTTGGTCAGAGGCCCAGGTGTGATAAAAACAAAGGACGTCCCGACTCCTCAACCACATGGGGTCACATTCCACAGCGGTGCACACAAGGAACCCCGAGCAATCACATGGCAAAGGCACCTCATGATACTCCAGGGGAGGGTCCATGTGCTTGTTCGGGAAGAGAACCTGTTGGCGCTGAAGATTGCAGGCTGCCTTGCGGTGGGGAGGAATATACGACCTAAACACTTTTACTCCGGACTGCACGTGGGAGTGGCTACATTGCCCCTGCCCTAAACCCTAAACCCTAAACCCCAAACCCTAAACCTTAAACCTGGTCTCCAGTCATCCTGGGATCTCCCCACCCTTACTTAGCATATACTTAGCCGCACCCCCACCCCCTGTCGCTGCCAGCTAAAAGCCGTTCAACCTGCAAAATAACAAGCGCTGCGCCATTGTGCAGTCACTGAACACTACAGCTCTCATTTCAGACTTCCGCAGCTTGGATTTTCTGGATATCTCCTCATGCTCAGAAGTACGAGAACTGTTGGTTGAAAGCCTTCAGGCAATCAGAGCTCGATCAGTCAGTCGCATCGCCACACCCCTAAAACTAATGGGGATCACGTGCCCCAGGCTCTGTTGTTGGGGATTAGAACTGAGGATGTCAGGTCAGGAGTCTGATGTTACCCGAAACCCTAAACCCTAAACCCTAAATCCTAAACCCAAAGCCCTAAACCCTAAACCCCAAACCCCAAACCCCAAACCCCAAACCCCAAACCCTAAACCCTAAACCCTAAACCCTAAACCCTAAACCCTAAACCCTAAACCTTGGCATCGGAGCAAGCGTGGCGGTAGCACGTTGGCATGTGCGGCCTGGCAGGATTGTAATCGTCATGGGTTCCCCTACTACCTCCCTCTTTCCCTCTTTCCTACCCCCTCCTAGATTCCCCCCCCCTCCCCCCCCCGCCCCCCTCCTAATTCAGGGTTTAGGGTTTAGGGTTTAGGGTTCAGGGTTTAGGGTTTAGGGTACACTACCCACCCCCTAGATTCCCCCCCTCAATTAAGGCTGCTTAGGGCTAGTTAAGCCGAATTAAGGGCTATTCAAGGGGGGAACTTAGGGATGGTAGTAGAGAGGGGCAGTAGGAAAACTCGTGAGATCGCCGCGCTAGGAGGGAGATGGCACTTGAGGCTTTAGGGCGTAATCGTTTTCCCCCTTCCCTTTTAACATGTACCTTCACTGTTGTATTGTTGGTCACAAACCCAAAGCCCTTATGAGGTTGACCGTTGAAGCCTGCCTGAATCCCCAAAAGGGGTAGCTTAGTGGATGAAAGGCTTGGGTTTAGGGTTTTTTCAGGTTCCTCCAGACATCTTCACGTCCATGTTCTTGGCGCAAGCACACTCAGCTGACAAAGCCGGAAGCCCTTAAAACTTGACCCTGCATGAGGCTGAGGCTATACCAGGGCGCCCAATTTATGGCCTTTAGGTTTCGAATGTGGGTGCTTTGGGGATTAAAAAAAACGAAGCCCTAATCCACAGACACAGGCCTGGTTCATGAGCAGGGACTCGCAAAGAGTGCCAGAACCCTGGCCAAAAGAGTGGTGCATCGGCTGTCGCGTCGCACAATGGGAAACTTATCCTCACGTAGGCTCTAGACCTGGCTTTGGCTTCGGAGACCACCCAAGTGTGAGAGCCGTCTGCAGTAGATGTCTTTCCACACGGTCACAAGGATTGCAGAAAATGCTTCACAGCATGGTCTCACAAGGCTCTCGCAGAGTCTTGCGCAAGCACGGCCTTGCGAAGCACTTCATCTGGACCTTGATGGCAGCAACTGACCAGCACGAACTAAACGTTTGTGGCACAGACCTCCCGCTTTGAAGACCTTGGCGAGCCTTTCACGCAGACCTAAAAAAGCGAAAGCCTGTCGACCTCCCATGATGGAAGTTGCTTAGACGAAAGATCCCCCCTTGCAGACTACTAACTTTAGGCAATACTGCTAGTCGCATTTGCGGCACTTTCAGCCATGATCAACGCATGCCTCTATGCGCTTGCAAGCTAGAATGCGATCACTCACTTCGAAGAAACGCGCTCGTTCAAAAGCACGAGTATCATTGCACGCACAGATAGCGATAGTTCCGCCATGCAGTCCGCACGACCTTCTTTCGATTTGCAGATGGCCTGACCGCACAAAGCAAGAATAGCTGGGGGGGGGGGGGGGTGTCAAATGAGACATCAGGGACCCTGAGGACCCCCTAGGGACACAAGGGTGTGTGGTGACCTTCGTAACGTGTGGACACTGCTGAACCTCAGTATACCTTAGTGAATTCAGGGGAGCATGGCATCTTGGCGAGCCCTATCATAAACACGCTAAGAAAATACTTCTTTGAGCGGGCCCTATAAAGTTTGCCTTTCCATCAGGAACTTGGGTGCAAGGCTCCGAAAACGGCTGGTGTGCAAGGACAACGCAAAGGAGAACATCAACCTCAAGTTCGGCATCCTCCCCCCTGCACCTTAAGTCTTATTAAACCCTAAGCCAGGCATCCTAAACCCTATAAACCCTAAACCCCAAACCCTAAACCCTAAACCCTAAGTTTCTTGCTTATCAAGCAACGCAGGCAGGTGACCTTTCCATCCGCACTCCGAGAGTCATGCTCGCAAAGTTAGCTTTGGAGAGAGGATATGGGACCTTCCCAAATTTAGGGTTCCCCTCTTATGTGCGCAAAAAATCTTCCTTCGAAGTCTGCCCCCCCGTCTGCTCCACTCACCTCCATCCCTCTCAGCACCAGGCCATAGGGGATGATGGAGCACAGTGCGAAGATGAAGTCGTGAATGTACTGTCGGCTTTTGATCTAGGTTGGACCCTAACTCTACGTGAACATGAGATCCCTAAACCCTACACCCGAAACCCTAAACCCTAAGTCTCTTAAGCCCCAAGAGGGCAACATCTACCCTGTCCCAGGTGGCCCTTCCGGGTTACATCTTGGGTGGGCAGCGGCGCCTTCTGGGTTTAGGGTTTAGGGTTTGTGGGTTTAGGGTTTAGGGTTTACGGTTTAGGGGTTAGAGTTTAGGGTTTGTGGGTTTGGCTCGCGACTTTTTAGGTTTAGGCGTAGGACTACGCAACATGCTGCCTCTTCCGTCGAAATGCACCCCGAGCCCAATCAAAGCCTGCCGAGCATCTCTGCGCACAATTGGAAGAAGCGAGAGGAGGAGAACTTAGGATTGTGGAGCGATCTATTTAGGGTTTAGGGCTTAGGGCTTAGGGTTTAGGGGTGAGGGCATGTCAACGTTTAGCGCCTCTGTTTCTAGGAATTGCGAGTTCGTCTAAACAAGGCTCCCCTGATCTGCAACGTACCCATAACAACTCGCGTAGTCCCCACATACCCTAAACCGAAACCCTATTTTGGCACGTTTGAGGTGTAGGTAAGTCGAGGAGGTTGAAGGTCGAGTGGGCCTCAGCCAGTCAGCAGTTTATATACCGCTTAACAGAACAAAATGACATGTACCTTAGCAATGTTCTCTACGCCCGAAAAGTGCAACCGTCAAACACTCCACTCAAGACACCAAATAAATTCTGTAAAGTAACAAAAGAGTTGTCAAAAGCAACTCCCAGACTCCTAATCCCTGAGTCCCGAAAGAACAACGAATCATACGACCTTCATGTAGAGGTAGTAGGTGGCAACGGCATCAGACACCGAGTACCTGTCAAGGGCTTCTAGGGTTTAGGGTTGCATCCGGGAGAATACCTGGAGTCTCTAACGTAGTCCCTTTTTTGGGGCTAGCTATAGGGGATCCTAGTATACTACCCCAACAAGGTACTACATAGGAGCCTCTAGGTAGCTTAAGGATATGCGCAAAAGCAAGACCAGCCCATGCCTCTCTTTCCAGCAGCGCTATGTTAGATTATAGGAAGCAAGAACCCCGATACGGCCTCACGCGTACTTCAAATCTGCACCTATAGCAACCTTCTCTGAGCCGCAGTGCAGATCCACAGCTCCCTTTTTGGGGTAATTATCGGGGATTCTAGTGTTCTGCCCCCAAAAAAGGTGCTACGGAGCCTTTAGGTAGCTTGTCCTCTACCTAGCGTTGCCAGCACACCACCTCGGGCGTCAGATCTGGCATTACGTAGAGGAACCGATATATCCTATACTTGAAACTAACTTATGTCACAGTCCTCTTTTACAAGGCTTTATTATACAGGCTAATCCGGACACATCCCAGGAAGCTGAAACATCCGCAAGATGGAACCACAGCGCCCACTTAAAAGGAGAAAAAAAGCGCACGCTGCCAGCTCCTGCGGCCTCTCCCTTGCGAAGGGTGTCATGTCCTGCGCGCTGAAACGAAGCCCTAGGCCCTGTAGGGTCTGAGATGTTGAATAGGTAAGAGCCGTCCTTGTAGCAGTTATGCTTCTTAAATCAGGTACCCAGAAGCCCCATTAAGGAGGGTGCCGCACGTGTAGTGGTCTAGATGACACCCTCACCTAGCCGCTGAATTCGAGACACAAAGCCTCCGAACCCTGATTCCCAAAGCCACAAGCCCCAATTCCTAAACCCTACATGTTCAAACTACTCAGGCCAACTGGGCTTGCGAGGGTCGGTCCTGCCTCCCTGTGGCCTTAAACTAAGTGGGTGGGGAACTCTGGAACCCCAGAAGT